CTGATTCATTGGGACCTTTCGGCACCCGACCATGTACAGCAGGATATATCCGACTGAAATCTGGATTGGAAGCATCTAGAAGTTCGGGATAGATGTCCCGGTCCGGACTGACGATCATCAATAAATCATAGGTAATAAATCATATATCTTGCTATATCTTATATTGATACCAGGCAATCACAGGCAACAAATCGTACTTCTTGTTTACCTCATGGAGATACTAACAAATCATAGATAAGAAATCGTACTTCTTGCCATATCTCTCATAGATACCAGCAAATCATAGGGCAAGAAATTCATTTTTCTTGCCATGTCTCACGCAGATACCAGCAAATCTCATGCAACAAGTCGTATTTCTTGCCATATCTCATATAGATACCAGTAAATCCCAGACAATAAATCGCATTTCTTATCATATCTTACATAGATACTAACAAATCACAGATAACAAATCATACTTCTTAGCATATCTCATACAGATATCAGCAAATCACAGGCAACAAATCATACTTCTTCACGCAGATACTAGCAAATCCCAGGCATCAACTCGTACTTCTTGCCATGTCTCACGCAGATACCAACAAATCATAGGTAATAAATCGTACTTCCTACCATACCTCACGCAGATACCAGCAGATCTCAGGCAACAAATCGCAGCTCTTGCCATGTCTCATACAGATACCAGCAAGTCAAAAAAAGAAATCGTATTTCTTGGCATGTCTCACGCAGATACCAGCAAATCATAGGCAACAAATCATTTTCTTGCCATGTCTCATACAGATACCAGCAAATCACTTGCCATGTCTCACGCAAATAAAATCCGGCCACCTGATCGGGAGAACTTTCTTTGCTGTCACGAAGTCGGCTCTTGCGAGAACAATCGCACGGGTTACCAGGGGCACGTGACCCACCCGTAGTGGCCCAGGATCGACAGCAATGACATCTCCGCGCTTGATGCCCCATTTTCGATTGCTACCCAGGTCGTGGGCCCCGCCAGCGCTGCAGCAGGAGGAACAGTTCCGGCTGGGGCAGCAGCCCAGCAGCTGGCGCAGCTGGGCTGGCTTGGGGGGGCCGGTCCAGGCAAACCACCTCTGGCCCTCTCAGCGGCTTTCCTATCTACCAACTCGAAGGAGGTCTCTGTATACTGCCGCGCATCCATGACCGCAAAGACGTGGACCTGATTCGCTGGGACCTCTCGGCACCTTACCATTGGCAGCAGGATATGTCCGACTGAAATCTGGATTGGAAGCATCTGGAAATTCGGGATAGATGTCCCGGTCTGGACTGACGATCATCAACAAATCATGGGCAATAAAAAATACATCTTGCCATATCACAAAAAAGATGCCAGCAAATCACAGGCAACAAATCGTACTTCTTACCTTTTTCGCGGAAATACCAGCAAATCAAAGGCAACAAACCGTAATTCTTGCCATATCTCTCATAGATACCAGCAAATCATAGGGCAAGAAATCGTTTTTATTGCCATGTCTCACGTAGATACCAGCAAAAATCTCATGTAAGAAGTCGTATTTCTTGCCATATCTCAAATAAATACCAGTGAATCCCAGACAAGAAATCATACTTCTTATCATATCTTACGCAGAAAACAACAAATCACAGGTCACGAATAATACTTCTTACAAAGTCTCATGTAGATATCAGCAAATCAAAGTCAACAATTCGTACTTCTTCACTAGTAAATCCCAGGTATCAAATCGTACTTCTTGCCATGACTCACGCAAATACCAGGAAATCACAGGCAACAAATCGTACTTCCTCCATATCTCACGCAGATACCAGCAAATCAAAGGCAACACATCGCAGCTCTTGCCATGTCAAAATAAATTATATCTTTTTTGCCATGTCTCACGCAGATACCAGGAAAGCACAGGCAACAAATCGCAGATACCAGCAGATCCCAGGAAGCAATCGCACTTTCGCCATGTCTTATGCAGATACCAGCGAATCATAAACAACACATCGTACTTCTTGCCATCTTTCACGCAGATACCAGCAAATCATAGGCAACAGATCATTTTCCTTACAATATCTCACGTGGATACCAGCAAATCATATGCAACAAGTCGTATTTCTTGCCAGATTTCATGAAGATACCATCAAATCACAAGAAAAACTTCATACGTTTTGCCATTTTATACTCAGACACGAGCAAATCATGGGCAAGAAAGCGTAATTCTTGCATATCTAACGCAGATACCAGTAAATCACAGGCAACAAATCGTGCTTCTTGCTATATCTCCCGTCAATACCAACAAATCATAGTCAATAAATCATCGTTTTTCCATATCTTACATAATCATAGGAAACAAAACGCCTTTTTTATCCTATCTCACATAGATACCAGCAAATCATAGGGCAACAAATCGTTTTCTTGCCATGTCTCGCAGCAAATCTCATGCAACTAGTTGTATTTCTTGCCATGTCTCACATAGATAACAGCAAATCCCAGGCAACTACCAGCAAATCATAGGTATCGATCAAATCATACTTCTTGCCATACCTCACGCAGATACCAACAAATCATAAGCAATAATTCGTACTTCCTACCATATCTCAGGCAAACACCAGCAGATTTCAGGCAACACATCACAGCTTTTGCCATGTCTCATCGTGCTTCTGGCC